ATCTCTTATTTACATTTTAGCTGAGAGCCCTAGAATGTTGCAAAACTTTATTAGAGCAAGAATTAAAATGCTTCTAAATCTGTGGACATTGACTAGAGTGGTTTTAGCTTGAGAGATATATGTCTAATTTGAATGATAACTGGACTGCAAGAAGTCTCAAACTCAAGGTTGTGTTTCTTTTTTCTATAATTTATGTGTCAGAGTATGTATAAATATTGGTGAAATCTTTGACAAAATAAATTAATGTTGAGTGCTTGTATCTACTGAAGGCATAATTAAAACTATGTTTAAAATATGTTTTATATTACTGCATATAGAGTCTGCTGGTTGGCCACACTGGAGACTTAAGACCTTTTTATCCACAGAACAGGTATTGCAGGCTTTGCCTCTCTAAGAGGCCTCAACCAATATCTGAAAAGGCAGCACTCAGGGGTGTGACTCACAAACAGGGACAACTTATGTTGAGGTGTCTCATGTGGTTATGCACCCTACAGAACTGGCATGTCCTGGAAGCAGCTCCTGAACCATCGTGGTTTCTGTTTGAGCATTTTGAAGCAAACCAGGCAGTTTTCAGTTTGTCTTGAAATGCAAGCCTGGAATTACCTGTATGGGCAGTTGGGGAAAGAGCCTGCTTGGGGGCAGTAAAACCAAGCAACTCTCTTCGTGAGCCGGGGTCCTTGGTCTTCTTCATATGTGCTGGTTTAGAAGGAGTTAAAAGCCATCATATTGTAAGTCGTCAATGACTACATACTCAGTCAGTCTACTAGTGTGAGTCACATAAGCCAATCACCAGTTTTCCAGATACCAGTTTTCTCTCATTTGATATTTATCTGCGAGAAATGCTTTAATGAGGCTGAGATCTAACACAGTGTAACAATGTATATTTAAATCACAGTAGTTAAACTGTATGTCGTTTGTGTGCATGCCAAATTATCCTTACAGAAGAAATATTTTGTTAAAGGAAATAAAGGAGAGTGCTGCTCAGTCAGTCTGGAAGGTAATTTCTTTTGAAGGGATATTTGCAATTTCAAGACATCTTACATCTTCCTTAAGTGATACCTTCTGAGGTTTTTGTTTCTAGGGAGTCTTCATTCTGTCATAGAGTTTTGTAGGTGATTTTTAGATCGGGTATGTATGAAGTATATACTGTAGGCTGTTCTGGACAAAATTTCTAATGCGCGGTTAACTGTGATGGGGAGAACTAGACTTGACAGTCCATCAGGATCTGGATAGTCCCTTCCAGTCTTCTGTTCTTAAGCGCATTTGTGGTGCAGATAGTTGTCCAGTGACCTGGAATGAGACAGCCTATTCACTTCTGACAAACAGCCCTCAGATAGTAATGTCTTTTCATTACTAAAATGGGCAAAATAATGGCCAAGATATGAAAGGCTTGCATCTTGTCACCAATTCCCTTGAACCATTTGATTTGTATGCATAAAAGCATCATAATTTTTGTGTATGCGCATGGATACACGCAGGCACGTGCGTGAGAATGCACAGAAAAGCACGTAAGAGTTGTATCAAAAGAAATGGAGCAATCTTCATAAGTAGAATTTATCATTGTAAATAGAATACCGATTATTGATCATAAAAGGTAGCTTCTCAAATACATAGAACTTGATGAAGGAACAGGAGTTTCTTCACCCCTCGACATGCACAGATATGCTTTTTGTTTGTTTATTATACTTCACAGGTTTCTTTACATCTTATATATGCAAAACTAATTTTAACATTTTCTCTGTCTGAAAACCAAGATGAAAGGAGAATCTCCTTTTTTTTTGCCTAAATTGTGCCAGGAAATGTTTTTATTTCTCCAACTGATTTTTTTCAGAATTACTTTTAAAGGAAATAAAAAAACTCCTGAAGATGTTTTTAACACTGGTTATTCTCAAAGTTAGATTCCACAGCTATGCTTGCATGCTTTGTGTAAATTAAAAAAAAAAATATTTGTACATGTAAATTTATTCGATTGTTTCTGCACAAAACTGTGTGCTTGTGCTGCCATTTACATGAGCAAAAATTCTGGCTAAAATTTTGGAAGCTGTCTATGGGGCTAGTGGGAAAATACAGAAATGACTAGTGATACTAGTGGACCTCTTTCCTACAGATGTTAATCACCTGTTTTAATACTGTGAACAATGTTTGTCTCATAAATTACAGATTTGAGTACTACTATGATTCTACCTCCGTTACAACACTGTTAATTTTTTTTATATATCTGTTCTAGATAAGAGCATTTGGGAGGATTAAAAAAAAAAAAAATCTGGTCTAAGGTATTTTCATGTGTAAACCAATCAAGGCCATTCATAGGAATACATGCAGATACAATAGTCATAACATCAGAAAGGGATTAACCATGTGGAAAGATCAGGATAATAAAGGAATAATTAGGATTAGGAGTCAATCCTGCAACAGGATCCATATGTATCAATTCTTCATATATTTTTTCTGGTATGTATTGCTTAACAGTATCTCAAAGTACAATACCAGCTGGATGTGAAGAGATTTCGCTGTGCCTGGCGGAGGTAAGAAAGTTCTGAGACTGTCATGATTCCAAATGGACTGTCTTGCCCTGAGGATTGATCCTGGACTCCTATTCTCTGGAGGTGTCCTATGAACAAGAGGATATCATAGAGGTATTTACAGAATAGCAGGGGTAAAAGCTTTCTTGCAGATGTAGGATAGTGCAAGGGAAGAGTCCTCCCTGCTAGCTGATGTATCCTTTGATATTTTCCTTCATCTGAAGGGCTGTTGAAGATTTAAGGGAGAAAATGTAGTCCTTCTCATCCTATGCCCCTTTCAAATGCGTTACCTGTTTTGAAAAGTTGTGTGCAGGGGATAGTCAAGGCAAGAAGAGGATTTAACTCTTCGCCTCTGATATTAATTCACAAGCAAGGCTGTTTTTTTGTTGGAGGGCAGCATGTCTGTTAGAAAAGTCAAAAAATTGTATCTTCTGGTGAAGGTTTCTTTAAAGCAATGTAACTGCTCCCAGGATGCTTTTCTGAAATAGGTCTGTGCGAACTTTTTTGTCTGTGTAGGAATTTTCCTTTTATTGGTGACTGATTTTTGTGAATTTGGTGTGCGATTTCCACCACCACCATCCCCCATCTAATTTTAAAACTATTTAAATCCTTTGGTACTTTCTCAAGAACAAGAAATGCCCCTATTACATTTTCTAATACTTATATTAGTTTATACTAGTAATAATACATACTTGGCAAAAATTTGTAATTTTTTTTCAGTTCTTTAGCTCTTACAATTTTAGTGTTTCATATGATTTCAATTTCCTTACTGGCAATGCTTCTGAGGCTGTAGGTAACACTATACATATATTATCAATCTTCACTTAATTAAGAAATGAACTCTCATTACCAGGTCTAATTATTGAAGATACATTTAGTACAGAAATCTAAATTTCTTTGTGTATGGAGTAAACTGCCGTACACTGAGGAAAATGGGATAACTTTCTCGGGATCCAAGTTATGACAAGAGAGGTGGCTTTTCTTTCAGAAAATAATTAGGTGGCCAATATGAATCAGAAGTAAGCAATAATTAATGTCAGCACAATACGTTGGGATTTTCTGTATCACTGTCATAAAGGATTTAGATGGTATCACCCATGAATGGTATATAGGCAGTTTATTCAAGTTGTTAATAATATAAGGCAGTACCTATGCAGCTTGCCTGGTTATAAAAAATCAGCATATGTTTAAAGGTCTGTGAGATTGCTCCCTCAGAGACCTATTTTGGTTTTTGTATTGTTCCCCTTTTGCTATTTTGCATTAAGCTGTACTGTTAGAGCTACACTGTATAGTTCTGTGAATTCGCAACATGGGGTTTTTCAGCTTGCGCTTTCTTAGAGGAGCTATGAGATCTTAGGAGAGAATATTTGCCTTATACCTTGGTAAAGCACCAGGCAAGGAACAACTCTTCAGAACTGGAATAAAGAAACAGCTTTTGCAGTAGTTGCTGTATTTCCAGTGCATAAACCGCAGGAGCATTTGGGCCAATAAATCTGTGATCCAGATAGAGAGTCAGATGGAAAACATTACAGTGACTGTTTTCTGGCATTAAAGAAAATAACCCAGTATTCCTAGTTCAAAAAATTACATCTGAAGCTTACCTTTTTTTTGCATGCTTTTCAAAATATGACAGATTTCAGTTGTTTAGCATGCAATTTCTGATATATGTTGTGCTCTTTTTTATATGGCATATTTCTGTTCTACAACTATATTTCAGTGGCCTTGTGTGGTTTAATATTTATTCAGATTGAGATTAAGCTGTTTTGAGTAATTAACATGAAGAGATTTTTCCTCAGCTATCCAAGACCCACACTTAGTTTTCATTAAATGCAGAATGTACCTTCTTTGTGGGAAATGAGGTGGGAGAAAATAGATTTCAGCAGCTCCTGGTCCAGCTCAAGATACATGCTGATACTACTGATACCTAGATATTTATGAGGCTCTCGTTCAGGATGGTATGAATGAAATTGTTAAACACAAATCACTCAAAACCCCTACACACCAAAAAAAAAAACCAAAAAAAACCCTAATAGGCCAATTTCGCTCTTATGAGCTGTGTTAATCTTATGTTTTGGTATTGGGTAAATTTCTGATAATTTTCTCAAACCAGTTTCCATGGGGGAAGAAAATGGTGAGTGGATTTATGGTTTTCAAGAAGAAATTGTTTACTTCTTCATTTAACAAAACCCTACAAAGAAATTAAATTGCCTGATAATGAGAAAGCTGTTATTTATTATATTGTGATTATTTATGTGGGGAAAAAAATTGAGTTTTACTCATGCGATGCATGCAAAAGATTATATTCATATATTTATGTTTTGGCAATAAACTCAGTGCTAAATATATCTGAACTGGCTAGCTTTTAGCAAGTCTTTTATAATTCTTATGTATATTTTTTTTTTCTCTCTCCTCAGAGAAACACTCTTCTTCATTCCTGCACCCCATATTGAAATCTAGCACTGAGATCAATAAAAAGAAATGATTAAATTTTTTCTTATGGTAAATAAACAAGGTCAAACGAGGCTCTCTAGGTATTATGAGCATGTAGAAATTAATAAACGGACGATGCTAGAAGCTGATGTAATCAAAAACTGTCTCTCTCGTTCAAAGGATCAGGTAAGTTTTGTGATTTTTTTTCCCCTAGCCATTTTATTTTATTAACATCTCACATCTTTTATGTTGGTAATTCTGAAAACACACCAGTTTCCATTGCAGGTCGTTATTTCATTAGTACCTATGAAGAAAAAGATTGTGTTTCTAGATCATGTGTTCAGTCAGATGAACTGTTATTCTGCATGGAATAAATATGTTTTTCTGAGGCTTACAGAGATTTTGGAGTTTTCTGTATCACTGTGATGAAGATTCTTCCTATTTGTTTGGAGAAGCTCAGAAGTCCAGGAAGATTTTATTTTATCCTGTTAATTCCTTGTCTGGTAGAGATCAATAGAGAGATATTACTCCTGCTTTGCCAGAAGGTAGTAGGGATAGTACTGACAGCTCCAAGTTTAAAAAAATAAGTTATGAGAAAGGATTCCAAATCATGAAATTACTAAAACACAGGGGGGGTTTGGAAACACATATTTTTAGGACTCTGTATTAGGCATTTTTATTTTTAAAAAGTGTTTACACTTTCTGCAAGAAAGTCAGAAAACTCAAAAGTTGGAAATTTTCTTAGATGAAAGTTGAGATTTTTATAGCTCACTTAATTGAGCCATTGGTTCTTTAAGAAAACTACCAAACTTAGCAAAACTTCTGAGCACATTGACTTGCATTGGAGGAGAAATCTGTGACTTGGGCTGTGAGTGGGGTTTTTTGGATTGTGTCCTGAAGTCAGCTGCTTTATTTTTTATTCATTTTGTGCATCCTTGAACAGTGGTCCTCACATATACAATTCTAAAAAACCTCAGAAAAAATAGCATTTTATATAAAATACCTTACTTCACAGAATTGACAGTGACTAAAGAAATTAACCTCCTCCAGACTGCTTGCAAGACCATCTCAATACAGAAACTTCACCAAAAGAACTTAATGGTATGCTGCTATTTCAAGGATTGAGCAAAATGATACTGAAAAAAAAAAAAGAGGAGGCATATTGTAAAGCAGTGTATAACAGCACCATCTGCTGGCTCCTCTCTTATTGTGAAATACATGGGAATTCCCCCCGGGGTCTGGAACTCTAATACTCTTAATTTTAATATAAAAATATTGATCATTTTTTAAATACGAAAATGCACTTGAGTTTCTTGCTTTTGGAATTGCTTCCAGGTGAAAATTTACGGGAAATATAGACTGTCTTATTAACCTGAACAAATTACTTCAGTTCTGTATGTTTCCGTTTTTCTGTATAAAAAGTGGTAGCAAGTTTTTTGCCAGTGGATGGAAAGTTTTGTGCAACAGTTATCCTACTAAATTTCTTTCAAGTCAAATTGTTTGGTGTATCTTGGGAAATCCATTGTTCTTTGTAGGCCTAATGAACATGAAAGCTTAGGCTCTTTGACCACTGTGCTTAAGAGTGTTGTATGCTTAAATGACAACTATGTTTGACATGTTTTGCTTCTGCCTAGTGTTCTTTCGTTGAGTATAAGGACTTTAAGCTGGTATACCGACAGTATGCAGCCCTTTTCATAGTCGTTGGAATCAACGAGACAGAGGTAAGAACTTATATACACTCTTGAAATGAGAGCTTTTAGTAGTCATGGGCAAGAACTCAAGCCTTTTTCCAGTATGGAATTTTGCCATAGCAATTTCAGAATTTCAAGGAGTCATTGCAAAAAGACATTTTAATTTATGTGAAATAAAAGGAGGTATAAAACCAAAAATATGTTTGACTTCATTCTACAGCAGTAGACTGAACTGTTATCATGAGGTAGTCTTCATGTGCCTTATTGATTCTGCTTTCTAAATTTCTGTGATTAAACAAATTTATATAGGGTGGAGTTTCTCAACAGATGTTAGCGTTACAGCCAGATCAGATGTCTAATCTGTGGTGACTTCTCAGCTTCTCACTGTTTTTAACCTCCCTGGCCAAAGAAAAAATTCCCATATTGTCAGCTAGAAAGATGCCAACTTACTGTATGTTGTAAAAAAGGGTATCTGACAAGTACGGTTATTTCATCTGTTCAGGCTGAGTCTGCAAAGCTCCAGTGTTTACATTGATTCCCAGTTCTCAGAAATCAATGCAAAGCTTACTATTGGAGACTTGAATTGGGTGGTGTGGAAGGTAGCTGCTGACTACCACAGCGTCTTCAAGTCAGGGTTACAATGGCATGTAATTTTGGGCAAATCCTTCTGGCCCCTCAAACCCCCTACACCATACACAAATGGCCCATCTGTACTGCTGCAGCTGGCCAGGAGCCACAGCCTCATTGGCTGTATCTTGCTGACCTGGGTGGTGGTCCAAAAAAGGGTACAATGGGATGGCAGCAGCCCAGGTGAGACAAATCCATTGGGTACTGCAGTGCTTGCTTGTGTGGCTGGCCTGAAGCTTCTGCCCTGAGCACTCCCCTGCTCTCAGTACCCCCACTGGGGAATCACACCTCCTCTCGCTGTGGTCGCCTCAGCTTGTGCACTTCATTGTAGGTCTTATTATATTTTGCTAGTTGCTTTTCATACACCACAGACTGAAATAACATGAAGAATATAATTACATTTTCTAGCTATTAATTTAATGTTCACTTGTTTTTAACTTAATTTCAGAATGAGATGGCAGTATATGAACTAATTCATAATTTTGTGGAGGTTTTGGACAAATACTTCAGCAGAGTGGTGAGTGAGACATAGAATTTTTATGAAATATTTCTCCTCTTTCAAAGCTTTGATGAATATGTAATTTCAGGGAACAAATCAAAGGAGAAAATATATATTTTCATATTCATCTATAATTTTGAATACTTTAATATTACCACTGTAAAAAAAAAGAAGAAAAAAAGCAGTTATTAGCTGATATTTCAGAGAAGTCAAAGTATATGTGGGTTATAAATCATCAGACAAGGAATATGATGCTTATATTATTTTAATGCTTATATTTTTGGGTTTCCTTGGGTCATCTATTCTTAAGTTAGCCACTGGCATTTTATACATTTTAAAGAAATAATAAAGTTTTTCTCGACAGTTCTTTTTTTGCAGTTCTATAGTATTACATTCCCCAAATGAACTTTATTCATGATAAAGGTAGTGTAAGCATTAAGTAGGGAGCTGACATCACTCTCACTGAATAAGATCAGAGGGGTGGAGCGCAAATGAAACCTCAAAAAACAGTCTGTACTTGTGCTTCCTACATTGTTGTCATGCAACAGTGGATATCTGATGAAACAGCTATTATATAGAAAGTAATTTTGTTACGGGTTCAGCATCAGACATGGCTCCAGTTGAAATTACACTTCTCCTTTTGGTGGGAGATGTTTTTGTTTGCTTGTTTTCACAAAGTTTGAAAATGCAGCATTATAATGCTGGTTAGAACATGCGCTATTTAATAGAGGGTTTTTAATAATCTTGTTATAAACAAATTTGCCTGAAATCATACTTTGGCACAATTTCAGTTTAACTGTGCTGAAATGCGTTGGAGGATATCCCTCTCAGAACAGTCTTCTCCATAGTCCGTGTGCTTGAGGGTATTATGTTGGTAATTCGACACACAAGAGATCAGTACACAGGGTCTGTAACTGGTTTCTGAGTCCTACTACCATAGCAGATGCGCCAGAAAGGACATGCTTGAAAAAGTCATCTGCGGCGTTCACTATTTAGATGCCTGGCAAATGTTCCAGGCTATTAATCTTAACTAACGTTGCACCAGTCTGTTGAAATTGCTGGTACTAAGTATATCACTTTCTGATTGTACTAAGTTCAGAATTTGTCTCTTAAAATTGTTATGATTGCAGTCCCAACCTAAGCAATGATAACCAGGAATGGAATTTGATTCCGGCAGCACAGGAACACACAATAAAATTTAGTCACATCTTATTGATCTAATCAAGCTAATAGTTGCCAAGCACTTCTCAGGTTTTATTTTCTTCATTTGAGACACAGCAAAAAAATAAATGTCGTTCTTATACATGTAAATGTAGGATATCTAATTTCTTGACCACATATATAACCCAACCACTGATAGTTGTTAGAAATTTGCTGAATTTATCATACCAGAGTTTTTTGCATTTGCGGTAGCATTTCAGGTTTGCAACTAGGGGAACCAAAAAGGGGGGTGGTTAAAGAAATCTCATGCCATTCCATGGTTCTATTTTTAATAGCATATAACACGATAAATGGCAGAGCACTGAAGAAGAGAGCTATAATTCTAGCTGGGGCTTCTGGTGGAAACCACAGAGCAGGAAAATACAAGTCTGTACAGTTATGGATTAATGTTCAGGATTTGCAGAATTTTAGCAGAATCCCAAATCATTATGATGGCAATGGAGACAGAACTCTGGGAAAGGAAAGAACATCTGTCCTGCTCTAGAAGGACACTTTGTCATCTATTATTTTTAGGCTTGTAGGCTTTAAACATTCTCACATACTCTATTTTTATCTAACGGAGTTTAGAGAGCTTGAATTCCGATATCAGAACAAACATTAACAGAGTTAGGGGGAAAGCTTTTGAAGTTGCTTGTGAGATGTAACTCTGAGTCCGCTTCACGTTCATATGGCTACCCAGGGAAACCTTGGCATACTGTTCCGAATACATATGCCAATCTTTTAAACTACTTTTTAATGCTGAAGAAACTTAATCTGATCAAGCTCTTAAAATACAATTTTTGTGATGCATAAAAGATTTCTAATAGAAGAATGGCAGTGTCACTCAGCAGAGGCCTGTCAACTGGAACTAGTCCAGGATAGAGCATCTTTAGACCACAGAAGTAGGAGCAATTTTACCAGTGGGAACTCCACCTAAAACCAGAGTTAGAATGTGAATGGAAACCATGTTAGCAAACTAAATTCCCTTGGTAGCAGATAAAGATTCCCTCTTTCAGCAGAGACTGGGGGAGTTCCACCCCCACTGTGCAAGATCTTAACTTTTGAGGCTGTGATTAGTTGTTTCTAAATTTAGACCTTTAACTGAGGCACTTAAGTTAGAAGTTTGGTCATCCTAAGCTCCCATTACTGGGAGTGGAGACTGATGAGTATCTCAAGAAAGTGAGTCATGCCTCAAGTGTGCCGAAGCGTGCTGTTGAAGGCACCCATCTCTTCTGTTGACTGCACAGAGACCACGAGGGCTTCTAACTCAGACATTTCGGTTAAATGAAGAAAACTACCTGGGGTAAATCCAGGCCAAGACTAGAAGGGAAATTATGGCTATGTGAAGAATTGTGTTGCTGGGGCTGGAGAATAGTTAGAAGTGCTAAGGGTCCAAAGCTTGGAGTTGCCTTTCCTCTCCTAATATATCCAGCCACAGCTACCACAGCCATGGGTATATACAATGCCTAGACTTCACTCTTGAAATGCTCTGCAGAAACATTTTTAACTGTCTTTTTATATAAATTGTAAACTTTACATTAATATCTGTTTTTGTAGAAGGAGAAAGATAATATAGGGCTGAAGTTGCCATGATTGGAGATGCTGGTTTTCCACCCACTCATTCAGATGGCACTGCATACATTGAAATTGTTACTTGTGGGTGACCTCAGTGGGGTTTTTCGAAGTAAAAATTTCAGAACTAATTCAGATCTAGCTTTTGTTACAGAGGCAGGTAGCACACCAAAGGCAAAGCAGTGTTGCAGGAAAGAGCATGTAATTGTACAGTCCAGAACAGAAATAGGAATCACCCTAAAATTTTGTATCATTGTTTTGAAGACTTTCTTTATCCTCTAAAGGGACGTGTAATGTTTAATGACTGAGATGAGAGATGAAATTGTAACTAGTGGTTGTCTATCTCTTTTCCTTTCAGAGTGAATTAGATGTATCCTTTTCAGTATCAGAAATCTATTTTTCTCTCTCTTTTTGGTGTACGTTCCAGTTCATACTGTCTTCATAGCACTGACTGTCAAACATTCAAACAGAGGTTTAACACATTTTGCACTTACAGTAAGTATCACCATTTTGGCACCTTTGTGAAAGCATGGCTGATGTTCATGAGGATCACCTATTTAAATCCTCAGTCCTTAAAATAAGCCTGGTACCACTTAAAGTAAGACAGGGAGAGCTTGCTTAGAGAGAACTAAGTACCATTAAAACCCAGACAGGAAAAGTTATATCAATGGGGCGACTTTCAGGCTTAACTAGTTATTACTTCAGATATTCTTTACATTACTAGATATTCTTTACATTTACAATAAAATACATATTGAAATTACTACAATAATAAGAACTGAATGTTACACCTGTGTCTTGAGCCAAATAGCAGTACCATCATTGTAAGATTAGGTTTGCACTTGCATCTTGCTTCATGAAAGTCTAGGTGAGCTTTACTTTCTGTATCAATGGAAAGAGAGAAAGGCCTGCGAGAAGGCAATTTAGGAAACCAGGCATTGCCACAGATACCTTTTTCTTTTCTCGCCCTTCCACTCACACAGCTGTATTTTCATGTGTATGATTTGCAGGGTATTAACTAAAATATAATGTAAAAAATGAACTAAAACCAAATACAAAGAAATACTAAAATATAGTCCTGAACAATTAAACACAAATAGCAAGTAAATAAAATACAATACTGAACTGAAAGAAAATTAAACCAGGAGATTGTAGCACAGTCAGTCTTCTTCCTCAGTTCTTCCAATCCCACTGCCTGCTCACTCTACTCCAGCAATCCTTATGCCTATATTCATTGTTGGTTAAATGCAGATCTACTGGTACAAAGTGTTTCAATTATACACCTGAAATAGTTACCATGCTGGAATCAAATACTGTAAAGTAACTTAGTTTATTTACCTTATTTAAGAATTAGTATATATGAAGAACATAGAAAAATTCAGTAGTTTTTCTTCTAATTGTTCTTACTGCTTTACTTAAACAAACCAAAAGAGAGTAATTAATTTCATTTATGTAAACATTTTAATGCTTGCTACATGCTGGAACTCATCTCATTTACTGAACTTTAATATATAGGTATGTATATAGACTGTCTGTATTTCATTCCTGAAATTCACTAAATATTCTGGTATTAATGTAACACTCCTAAATTCACTTATATTGTAAAAGAGCAATAATGAAATTTCAGCATAAAGGGACTCTTAAGGTCTCCGAACAACTGTATTAACTACATTTTTAGGATTCAGTTATTATAGTTAAGGATTAGAACTATGTGTACTTGTGTATGAGCTTTGCTGAATTAGAGACTAACCTGACCTATTCAGTAATTATACATAAAAAGGGTCCCCTGTGTTTCCATGTGGTGTACTTTGAGTTGGCAATTACTTGATTCTTTTTATCTTAGATTGTTTGGAGTTACTGATGATTCTAAATTCTGCCTGCCTCTGGTCATTGTTTTCATACCGAGAGGAATTTTCTCTAGTTACACACTTACAGTTACCACCAATAGCTCAATTAATAGCTGAGCTGAAAGTCTGCTGCATACCAGCAAGTGTCTCCATACAGTGATAGAGAATACTTCTCTGCATTGTTTAGAGAAGTTGTTGCGTTATATGCCAACACTAATATTTGCGACAGGTGCAATACAGTGTCTGAACGATTCCTGTAGAAATTCATCTTCTACATGGGTCTCATCTGTATAAGGGTGTGGATATAAATATTTGGAAAATAGGAGTGTGTATTATTACCTTATTTGATAATACTGGAAATAATATTGGAAAAGCTCATGTCTGCTATGTCTGTCCTCAATGTGTATGACATAGGAATGACGTACCTAATTTTTCCATTCAGAAATGCACTTTTCTACATTATACATTTCAGGAACAATTTTAAAATAAAACATTTTACTTCATATATGTAGAAAATATTTCTCCCATTTAGAAGTAAGAGCTTTTCATAGGTTGAGAGAATTCCTAAAATAGTTGAAATGAAGCGAGATACCCTCAATGTTAAATGTAAAGCAGAGGTGTAAACAATGAAGAAGCATGTTGTTCAGGATTGTATTCATTTTTGACAACAGCTTGAGTAGCAGGCCCAGAAGAACAATATAAAATCTAGACTAGAAGTGTCTTAGATGTTGATGCAGTGCAAGCAATCATCCATCAATATGCCTTTCATAGTGTGTAAGATAATATCCTCACCTGAAATTAAACCATTTCCTTTGCCAAATACTCTTATGCTACCTCTTATATTCAGTACAGTTAGCTTGGGTGCAAAATATCTGATGGAGGAAGGACTATCTGAAGGTATGTAACTGCGAACACCCAAGTAGTGTTTACAGAATCTTTGTATACAGAGTGTATCTGGTGGGAGACTGTCTTGATTTCCTGTCTCTGTACAGATCCATAGGAAGTTTATTTCAAAAGTGACAGTGGCTATTCTATATAGAAAGTAATGTTTACTAACATGAAAAAAATAGTAGGAAATTACATTAAATCAAAATCCATGAAAAATAGATTGTAATCATTAAAAGCTATTCACCCATGCAGATTTACACTTCATTTATAAACTGCCCGCACCCATGCACCCATGCACAGAGCAAACCCCTCTAAAGGCAGAGACCATCATGCTACTGAAATGTTCCTGGAGCCTATGCTAAGGCTGCAGCCTGTGCACTGGTTCTTAAAGCCTCCCCAGCCAGAGTGGATAACCCTGGTATTCCTGGCAGGACATCTCCTGCTAATGAGGGATTCCAGCTTTCATTTAGGTCCAAACACCCGCATTCAGCCAGGGCACCCCCATCCTGACCTGCACCATGGCCCAAGTCTGGAGTCAGCTGCCGGGAAGGGCACCTTGGGCACAAAGCAAAGACTGGGTCCAATCTGAATCCTGCTCAACAGGATTCATACCTAATATTTATTTGTATGTATGACACAGGTGTGTGTGATGCTAAACAAGGCGAGAACAATTGCAAAGTTATCTCATGCATACTGCAACAATGAACACTGATTAGCTACTAGCCAATTAAGTAACTACTTTAGATTAGCCTTGGTTTTTACAGAAGCTTTTATGTGTGAATTGTAAAGCATTTAGCCATTATCTGATGTCTCCTTTCATTCTGAGAGATAGTCACATACTTAAGGGTACCTACAGTGGAATGACGTAACATTTCTGAAGTTGTTTCATTTGTTTTTAGAATATCTGTAAGTAGTGTTGTTGTGCCAGTTGAACAAAGAAGTACCGAAATTGTCCTAGGGGTGTTGCTTCCCAATGTGGTAATAGCAGTAGATGAGCCTCACTTCCGTGAATAAGTGGGTGGGAATTTCTTTAAAACTTCAGCTGGATGGTGGAGGGGCTACTTTCTTGGTGTGATGATGACAAAGAGATTATAAAAAAACAAGTGTTACCACACCAGCTTTGTAGAGAACAATATGCTGATAAGCATGACAGTTTCTAAGACTGCACACAGTTGACTTTTCTATTGCTTGAACTGGTGAAGCAAAACTTACTTGAAGACACGTTATTAACTTACAGAAGAAACAGATGCTTACGTTCCCCTTGTGGGAAGGGAAGGGGAAGACAGGGTGCTCTAGGACCATGAGTTTGAAGAATGTTGCCTTGATCAAAAAAACTCATTACATTCCATTGCAACTAGCTGCTGCTGCTCCTAGGATAGATATAAAGCCTTGATACAGGGAATGCTTCATGTGAATCAACCATATTCTTCAGTCATCTGTGGAATAACACTTTCAGAATACAGTACATTTAAGTAGTAAGAAAATTGAATGACAAACTTGTAAGGATATACTTCAGTTTGTACTGTAAAATAAGCAGATTAGATGGAAACCTAATAAGGATTAGCTTAAAACTGCTGTTCTAGAACATCACAGAACTTGAAGGCATCATTTGTCTCCTATTTAATGTCAGCATAGTTGTTTGAGAAAGAAATGGTCAGAAAGCATTAAATTGTTGTAGTGTCTAAAATTTGCCTGCCATTAACTAGGCCACAAGTTACTTAAAATGAATCTTCACAAAGATAAAGTCAGAATGTGTGACTGTAGATTAAAAGAAGAAGCAACTCCAACTAATCTTTAGTTGAAGATGAACAAACAGAATGGAAATCAAAGTTTTGTAATGCTGTATATTCAGTAGCAAACCGTCTGCCCCTTAAGTACCCATTCTGTAATCTACAGAGCTTTTGTTTGTGCTCCTGGGTGTGTTAACTGATCACAAGGTGTTGGCTGCATTTTATCATCACTTCAGCTTGTACACGCCCTTAATTACTTGCCTGGAAAATCCTGAGGTATCTTAAACTGCCTCTATATGAAGAAGTTATTTTATTACATGCAAGTCCTAACTGTGCCTTTTTCCTTTCCACCTTCCCTTCCCTCCTCCTCTCCCTCTCCCCCACTTAACTATCTGCCTGTATAATGTTTTGGGGAAGGAGACACAAGACTGTGTCACATTTACCTCCTCTTAGTATGTACGTGCCATTAAAACTCTTTGTGATAGTAGAAAGTACCATTAATGTCTCTCATAAGGGCAGCTCTGAAAGTTACCAAAAGCCAGCATTTAACATTTGTGTAGTAGGTGCTGTTTACATCTACTGCTAGGCATCTGCCGCCACAGTGAACTGAAGACAGTAAGGGCTCACCTTTTGCCCAGGCTGTCAACTTGTTAAAGAGTATTTCCCAGCTGGGTGCTCTTAAAATTTTTATTACAGACTTTTATCTACAGATGTAGATGTAATACATGTTTTCTTCTGCACACTTGTTTAAAAATTCCTGTTAGCCTCTGCAGAGATCTAGTGAAAGTCCCTTAATTCTCTTTTGTGGGCAGCCAGGATTCCTCCTGGAAGCAGGGCCTTGAATGACAGCTCTGGGTGGAGCACACGGCAACGCACATACCCAATACAGCTTTTTCCTGTTGCCAGTTGCTCAAACTGGTTTGCTTTGCTGCTTTTCAGCTGGGCGTAGATCTATGACCTCAGGGCTTTAAACCCTGAAATTTGGGGTCACTTGCCAAAGCGACAGGTGGGTAGGAAGAGCCTTGCTGAGGAGAGGAGATGTATATCCCTGACTGGGCAGGGCATTCAGACACAAATGGCTAAGCAGTGTGTGTGTGTACAATGAGTTGTAACTGTGGAGGATAGTCATGAGACTTACAGGAAGGGGAAGAAGGCCAAGGTTGTTCCCTGTGCAATCTGACTGTTTGCTAAAGGTAAAGGGAGGTGGAAAGAGAACTGAAAAAGGAAGCCAGGATGTTAGGTTGAGGATAGAGATTAAAGAATGCTTTGGGACCTTCCAAAATCAAGATCTTTCCAGAATGGTATTATTATCGCCATTCAAACTGCAGGTGAAATCACTGGTTCTGGAATGATGACTGTGAGAGTGACAGGTTACAGATGGACAGAAATCACACCACTGTTTTCTCTAATGGAGTAGGCCAGTTTTGAAATAACCTGGAATGGCTCTGCAGGGGAATTGACATCTCATTTAACTGCACTGGGTTTGAGTGGAGCAGCTACAAGACATGTATTGGTGTGGGTGCAGTTTTCCTTTCATAGTATCAGATCTTTAGGAAATGCAGCAAGGTGTGCTAAGTGTGTTTTAAATGTTTTCTTAAACAAGATGATGGAGAAAAATTAGGTGAGAGTCGCAAGTCACTGCTTTATCACTGATCCTGCTAGATCCAGTCTTCTGTGTTTTAGATCCTTGGGACTCTCAAAGGAAGAGGAAGACCAGGAGAGCTGAGCTCTCACTCCACTGTGAATCAGGAGTGTAAAAATTAAAAGCCAGGAGGAGCTGGCTTTATCACTTGTTGAAACCTGAATGGAATGTTATCTAACTTCATTAACAGATTCTCTTGCCCTACATAGAGCAGTGCCAGAGGTGAACTAAGCAGCAGTAGAAGAGCTGTCTTCACTTCACTAGAATAACTTCTCAGATTAAAATAATTGTGTAAAGACTGATTTACTTGAAAAAAAATATACCATAGGAAGAAATTTGTCTCCAGTCTTTAACCTGCCAAGCAAAGTAAAGTAACTGCCTTTGTCTCTGGAGCCACAGAAACTGAGACCATTGAAGTTTTAAAGACAGTATTGCTCCAGAATTGAAAGGCATAAGTCTGATTTTTAGAAGCCATTTAGGCCTATGGTCAGACTCAGGAAGAAGTCTGGTATTTAAAATATAACTTAGAATTAAATTAGGTGGTTAAGTTTAAGCCAGCAAATTAGAAGCTATCTGATGAACCATGGACATACCCAAGATTCTGTTGAGAGCTGTAGTTCCTCTTCCTCATGTAACAGTAAAGTTATTTGGGAGCCTGAATTGTGCTGCTACACATACCTGGACATGCTGTGCTCTTAGTCAAGCAGAATGCACTTGCTGGAGCAGTGATACAATTGCTTACCCATCGGCACAAATATGCAGTAGCATGAGTCCAGCCCAGAGCATTCACAGCAACTTGAAACAGCAGAGGAGGTGACAGCCTGCTAACTATATGCTCATCAGCCTGAGCACACAGGTTCATCCTACATTTCAGCCTGAGCAAGTTCAAGCTTCTACTTTAATCTCTTAGAAGGGTAGCCACAGTAAAGGCTGACATGAGACATTCTGTGCCCTCTTCTTGCGTTAATGTATGCAGCAGAAGCAATCACCAAGACAGGGACAAGAACATAATCTCCTCTCATTACTGGGCTAGACCGTCATCCTGAAGAACTTTTACAGACAGCAGGAGAACTTTAAGAAGGCAGCAGGTGGAGCTGCTACCAACTCAGTGAAGCTTGCCCATGGAGAAAGGTGGGTTTGGAGCCCTGCCCCTGCTGAGGACAGGCTCAGCCTCTATCCTCTGCAGGTTTCAGACAGGCAGCATTTCTACAGTGACATTTTAAAGGACAAGACTGAGCCAGTCATCATTACCTGAAGTAATGACTTGGGCTTCTGAATCCAAGAGAAAGGATTACAGACAAATCCCTCTCTGCTTTCCTAACTACTGGCTTCAGCCCCGGTTCTCTAGAACCTTTGAATTGTTTGATGGGTCTAGCTTTCGCCACTCATTGCAGGAAAAATAAGGCACTTATATTCAGGAATTCCCTTCTCAAAGCCAGGTGCTAAAAAACTAGACAAGGGAATATTCAATGTTACTTTACTTGGATCCATTTCTTCAATTCAGACCTAAGACTGTTCACTTTCATGAGCTTGCGTTGTTGCAGGTATCGTGGTTTAAGGTGTTGGCCCCTCACCATTTGCATTTACCATCTAGGAGGAACAAATACATGCAACGATGTAGTTCGGCAGCTGTTGTCACACACAGTGTGGTAGTCCTGCTGTTCCTGCTCTATGGCAGCGCAGCAGGGCAAGCTGCTGTAGTTAGATCCGCTAGAACTCGGGAGACAGAGCAAGCCTCTGAAATGCCTGAGCCATGCTCAGAAAATAAGACTTAAGCTTTATCACAAGGAGCAGAGGAAAACAGCGATGCTTTCAAAAACCTTTCTCTTGTAACTCCACTGATGAGAATGGAAATCCACTAACATAAATACAAGGACTAGAGCAAAACAAGGCTGTCTTCCTAAGCTCAAAACAGAGCATCAAAAAGAGCATCATGGGCAGAGAAGGCACTCAAGAGACTCATCCCAAAGATGAAAAAAAGTGTTGAAAGATGTATTTAGAAGTTCTTGTGAAGTATCTTGCTAGCTCCGCTGCAGTAGTCCTTGATACCCAGGCAAGAACTAGAAGGAGCAAAGTGAAATCTGTTGAGCACAGCAAAGAATACATTTAAAGAGCAGCAACAGGTGGAGAGCAAGGCAGACGAAGGGTTATTCACACCTCTCTGTGTAGATTCATGTCAGCTGGGCATAACAGCAGTACCCAGCAGGCTTTTTTGCTGTGCCTATTTCCACTTCAGGGTATGGTGATAAATGGCAACATAAGAATCTTTTTTCACTGAGTAACCCTTTGCATTTGTTCAGTGGAGACACAAAACACAGATGTATGCACAAGAGTGCCCACCACTTAATACCAGAGTAAGGCCTGTCATCAGTTGTTTTTGGAGACAGAGGCTGTTAGATAATACTAAAGAAAGACAGTCATGGTTATAGACAAAATTCATATAGCACAACAGTACAAATTCATATTGTTTCAGATTGATTTTCCTTTAGGTGAACATTAGAGATTATAGAGATCTTTTACAAAGTATTTAAAATATGAACCATTTATTTACTTTTGCTGTTATGAGATTTATTACTGGATCAACGACTCAGCTTTATATATCAGCGTATTCCTCTTAAGCTATTTTCAAGCATATCAAATAGTGTTAGTAACTTAAGGCAAGGAAAATTTGAGAATCACATTTTAAGAATTTGACTGATAATTACTTTTCTAAGAAGATGCTGAATATTTGCATCTTCACATTCAAGGCTGTTATCCCTTGTTAACATTTTATATTCAAGCAATACATGGTACTCAGGCAGACAGTAAAATTAACCACCTACATCTAAGTTCAAGTTTACCTTGCTTTTACCACTATGTGGTAATCTTCCAGGATGGGATACTGCTAGGGCTTCCACTTCTCTACTACAAACTTTTGACATCTCTGTGGGTCCGAAAAAAAAG